CCAATACAGTAGATATTCGATTATCTGTCTAACGCCCGACCATCACCGTATATGATAAAATAGACGGATAATTAAATGAACTGCAGAAAAAAGATTTGTTGTTGATAAATTTTTATTTTTCGGTAAAAAACAAGTCAATTAATCTCACCTTTAGTTGGTCGATTGATCCAGGCATAAATGGCAAGGTTGCTTGGACTTTGGATATTTCTTTTTTTGCTACTCTTTTTTCAGTTCGCTCGTCACAGTATTCTCTCATCTTTGCGTAATCATCACGATGCGTCCTTGAGTAATGTGTGTAGTAATTGCCGGTTGAAGAAGATTGGCCACGAATTATTTTTTCTTTTATGCATTTTTTGCACTGTGCAGCTATGGCTTTACTTTCTTTGTCGTTTTCTGTGACCTCGAAATACGTTCCGTCGAAAATTTTGGGTAATTTCCGAGATGATTCATTATCTCGTCGTCTTTTCGGTGCTGGCACATCACCTCCATTTGATTCAATACTGCGTTTTGTCATATTGAGTAGAAGTCTCTTTACAGGCCTTGACGAAAGAGAGATGATAAGACAATCGGTTATTCGCTACATCGGTGCCTATTTTCAAATATTGTTCTAAAACATTTGCGCACAATTCGTATGGGATCACTTCACTTTTTTTTACTACACCAACGTCATGGGTACCGTAAAATTTCAATTTGATGCCATTCTTTTGGAAAGCAATAATTTTCGAAGGCCACGGGCGGTGACCAGACATACGGGCACAAACTATTTGATCGATTTTCAAGTTAATTTTTTTTTCGTTCTCTTTTTTAACACTCTCCCAAATTCGAACTGCTTTGGCGGTACAAAAGGCCATCTGAGATGCGACTACAAGCTGTTTCAATGATTTTTCGACCGGTTTCGGGATATTAGCTGTGGGCGCGCGCTTTCGGAGCTCATATTTCTTCTTTAAAACGTTTTTCTGGCTGTGGTTTTGGCTATGGCCCTGGCCATTTAGCCATAGATTGATTTCGTTTGGACTAAGTTTTGTTAATCGAACACAACATGTTTGATACTCGCGCGGCACCTTAATTTCCGTCGGTTTTGATTTGGAATTTGTTCTCTTAAATCGTTTTGACAACTGCTTTGGAATGGCTTTGATTGATTTTGATTCTTTTGGGGTCTGAGCTCTGGTTTTTGCCATTATCTAAACCATCAGAAAAAAGCAGTATTAAAAATGGCGGACCGTAAAAAGGTGACCGAAAAAAAACATATGGAATTCACCCGAAATAGTTTTTCATATATTGGAAATGAATCATACGAATGGACGACGCAAGGAAAACGAAAATGAATATTTGGATAGTTTAGTCTATCTTAAATAAAATATAAACAGTAAATCTTACCAATTTTTTTATTTTTGGAGTTGTTTTGCGCGTTAATAAATGTTTATTAATAAAAATATTCAAAGCACGAATTCGGGCGAATGATTATATCGGCATGAAACAGCTACGGCTTTGTTGTGTAGTGCGTGTGTGTTTGCTTCGAGTTAAATGGCGTTAGTATTTTACGCATGTATGTATTCATCGTTCCTGTCATTCATGCTACTCTCATCGGTTTTATTCTAGTACATCATTCGGTACATTGCAACATTGAAATCGTTTTGAAATGTTTATTAAATAAATTGAAATGATAAAAATTATTTACAAAAATTATTCAATTCGAAATCTAATATTTTTCTTTTGTGACATATTTTTTCGTTTAAGTATATTGAAAATACCGACTATATATCGGTATATAACGATTTAGTCTCGGTACCTTTACATTATGTTCGGTACACATTACGAGTCAGTCTCGGTACCTTTGTATTATGTTCGGTACTAATGACGATTTAGTCCCGGTACTTTTAGTTAACCGAAAATAAAAGTTCCACCCAAAATAAAAATGTTCGATTTTAAATTGAATAAATATAGTAAATATTTTGTTTATATTTTATTTTATTCATCAAGCATTTCAAAACAGTTGATGTACTAGAACGAAACCGATGAGTAGAACCTTTAAAACAAATGGCATCCATAATGAAGTAAGTTTCGGTACACCGAATTAACCGCTTAATATGCGATGTTGTGTTTATGCCGCCAACTTTGACAGAATCTCAATCAATTTTGTTGTTTATTTATTTATTTATCGTTAAAAAATTTCATTTCCAAAAGAAACTAGAGAATTTTGTGTCAAATTTTGTGTGTATTTATTATTATGTATATTGTGGGAAATGGACGTAACAAGAGAAGACCATTATAGTTGGTTTAGCATCGGCCAAAACCTTGGATTGAACATTGCGGATCACTTGAAAAATATACTGCAGTAAGTGCAACATGGATTTTGTTATTAACATTAAACAATATTCAAAACATGTCATCAAATATAAATATTTCAGAATTTCTTGCTGCAAATATTTTTCTGCCTTGAGAAACATTGATGACAAATACATCATCGACCTGGAAACATTTGTTCGCAATGACTTGTTGGGGATTTTGGAAGGAGAATGCAAAAAAAGAAACGCGAAATTTGATGATTCACACAAAACATATTTTTTTGGGCTGTATCATGCAAAAACTAAAGATTTCCGATTCTTGCCTGGTGAAAAATTCGTTTTAAAGGAGATTGGTCGATACATGCAGCGCTTAGTCAATGATGAAGACGAAACCAAATTTGCACCATTCAAAATGCCAACCAACTACAAGATGCCACGAAAAGATACATGTCAGCTGTTTGGGTGCACATTTTCCGGAAAGCAAAGTATTGAGAAGAAAAAACAGCGGCTAAATTATACGAAACATGCTACAACTGAACCAAGTTTGATGAAACAGTCATTGTTGCCAAAGCTGCGAAAGGAGTTCAAAGTTAATGAATCAGAATTGATTGACATCGAAATTGTGAAGAATGGATCAAAAATCTCAGCTTTAGCTCAATGTGTTCACTGCAAAGACAAAAAAGGGCAAGTTAAAAACATCCGTATTCAATACGATTCAGTAAAAAATTCAAATTTTTTTTACTGGAATCTCTCAAACTTATATAAGCACATGAAACGACAACATTCTCACGTGAAGCAAAACAATACACGCCATAACAAGAACTGTGATACTGCCGAATTACATGATGAAACTGAAAATGAATTCAGGGGTTTTGAACCAGAGAAATTGTCCATCGTTGAACAAGATCGTGAAACTGATTTTGATGACATTGACAACTTGAGCATCGTACTCGATGAGTCCGTGCTGGAAAATCAAGCTACAGCATTGGAACCAGAGAAATTGACCATTATTGAACAAGATCGTGAAACAGATTTTGATGACCCTGACAACTTGAGCATCGTACTCGATGATTCCGCGTTTGAAGATACAATTAATATAGCGGAAGCAGTTTCGTGTGGCGAGATTACTGTGGAAGAAATTACAATCGATTCAAGCGCTTATGGAAGTATGGAGGAAGGAATGTTTGATGTTCAATCAATCGACATCAATTCATGAAATTTTGGACTATATAGCCAAATGGTTCAACAAAATCATGAAATGAAATCGGCTATTGAAACCAATTGCGAAACAACCGAGATTATGTGTTACGAATTGCCGGATAAAGACTCATTTTACATTTTGAATGTCATTGAAATAGCCGGTGATGGTGATTGCTTATTTGGATCGTTAGCCCATCAATTATTCCATTATGAGCCACATTCTAATGAACACAAACAACGAACTGATGCCCTACGAGCAGCGACGGTATCATTTATAAGAGCAAATATGAGCGATTTCGTATTTGAAATGAAAGGGCGAGTTTTGGATGAGAGAGACGCTTGCGAGCAAAGTGAAGTGGACGGCCAAGGATGGGCACATGTAACTGAAGCAGATTGTCAACAGTTTTTGGATAGTCTCTCAGAAAAAGCATTTGGTGGAGTTGAAACCATCAAAGCAATTACGCTCATTCATCAAGTGAACATTTTAGTGATCAATGAAGATGGTCCACCCTATTTTCCAATGGGCTTCAACACAAATTGTCAACGCACGGTCTTCATCGCGTATCGGCTGGCATACCATACAACAATAAGAAATCATTACGATAGCATCGCCGAAATTGACCCGCAGCTGTTGTGCCGATACATGACTGATTGTCAAGAAAAAAGAAGTGATGGTTTCAAAAATTCAACTTTAATAGAAGTAGAATAGAAACATTTCAGCGTTTTTTTCAATTCTTATACCGTCAATCGTACATTGTACAAATACTATTGTTATTTTTCTATCGATATGTTCTCCGTTTAACGTCACCATAAAAATTAAGAGTAATTGAGACAACCAAATTTAGCTATAAATATCAATAATTTTTTTGCGTCTGAATCAAAAGAAAAATGAAAAAATTTATTTTTATTAGATAAAATGAATCAATAAAGAATAAATCCGAAAACAAAAGAAAAAGTATTTCGTGTCATATTTGTTTATTTCAGTTTTGGTTTCTCTGATCAAATTCATGGCTTTTAACTGGAAATATACGTTGAGTTATAAGAGAGCTCGATTTTTTGAGGCAAGTAGAACCGACATCAAAATAGCAAGATACGTCATTCTAACACTATAAACTTTCTATTTTTTACTATTATTAGAAGAATAAAACAATGAATAAAACAGAGCAATCTAGTATTAGATTACTAATGATCAAAATAAATAAACGAAAAAATATTTGAAATTTTAAGATTTTTTTTTCGACCATTTTTTTTGAAGTGAATTGCAATGCTGAGCCCATATACTGATGGAATAACAGATTGAAAATGAAATACGACTTGCTTTGTTGAACAACAGGACAAGAGTGAATGACAAATTTATTTGTTTCTTCTTACTTGGCTAAACAACATTTTTTCTATACTACCGACACATCGCAAGTATTTTTTCGTGTACGCTGAACGAATCTTCAAACATTTTCAAAGTAAATAATTTGTTGAAAAAAAACCAGAAATCTCAACAACAATTAAGTTTAATCGAACATGAAGACTGACATCCAGATTGAAGTGCCATATGGAACCTATGGACGGGTCGCATCACGTTCGGGCTTGGCATTGAAAAATTTCATCGATGTTGGTGCCGGTGTTATCGATCAAGACTACCGTGGCAATGTTGGTGTTATTCTGTTCAATCATTCCAATGAGAATTTCGATGTCAAGAAAGGTGACCGCATCGCTCAATTGATTTGCGAACGCATCGTTTACTCAACATTGGTCCAAGTGAACACCTTCGCAGACACAATTCGCGGTGCTGGTGGCTTTGGTTCCACCGGAACTCAATAAAAACATACCACAGTTTGGATTATAAATCCACATACATTGTTACATTACCATTCGCTGGTGGCTTTTTCTGAATAAAAACATACCATAGTTGAACTGTGAATTGATTGAAATTTTGTTTTTACTTCTCTCACACCCCTTCTGTCTCTTTACTTCTCTTGCACCCATCTGATCAAAATTCAATAACCTTTTTCCAGGAGATATTTAAATTTTTCTTTTTCGTCTAGACTATTGGGTGGGGAGCATTGCGTGCATATGTGCATTGTGTGTGACAATTCAATAACCTGTTTTTCCTGGAAAATATTTAAATTGGGCAGAGGAGCATTGCGTGTGATAATTTTGACGTCTTTCCCCTCGCGGGTTATTTTTGAGAGATGTACTTTTCGTCTAGGCTAGGCAGAGGGTGGGGCAAATAACTTGCATGCATCGCGTGACTGATACTTGTTGCGTGACTGACATTTCCTCTCTTTCCCCCCACGGATTGCATGCATTTTTTTGTCCCCCCTCGCCCTAGGTTGGACGAAAAGGACAAAAGTATACTACTCACGTTAGAAAGTTGAAAAGTGATTTACTCGTCTATTTGGGAATAAACAAGCATTTATTCGCCGAAAAAACCAACAATTTCTTAAAATTTCAAAAATTTTCGAAATCAATTTGATCGTTCTAAAATGCAAAGTAGTTCGATCATTAATCGACGATTTTGGAGTCATTTTCGTGGCGTCTCCACTCGCATTTAATTTGTATTATAGAAGCTTGCTTGTCAAAGTTCAAACATCATTGCAAACATATGGAAGTGGAGGGAATGACGGCAAGCTGCACGAGGTTATTTACGATCGGTCATAAGGCGAATGAAATCATGGCGTCTCTATGCATTTAAGCTTAAATAATGATGGCCGCCGAGTGTAGCACTCCCATGTTTGACACGGAAGCCACACGCCACACCCATCATTAGACAAAATTCAAAAAGACACAGTTAGAAACACAAGAAGAAGCGTCGATCGTCGTAAACTTACCAATTTGCAATTCAAAAACACAAAACTTACCTCTTCACGCAAATTCAATTTTTAAAAGCAACAAGAGCTTACCTTTCCAATGCAATTTAATTTCCATTCAAAAGACAGAGAACTTACCTTGTTTACACTCGACCCGAAAAAGAGAACTTATCTACTACCTGTAAAGTTTCTTTCTAATCGAAGGCAGAATGGAATAAAAAAAAAGCTATTTTTATTGGAATCCAATTTTATTGACCATTTGGGGGTCATCAATTGTGAGAGTGAGGCTCTCTTGGTTATAAAAGTAATCTTTTCTTTGAATACATTTTTTTGGTTTCGGCACAAATGCCGATCTGCGATGATTAATCCACGTCATCAAGAACGTGTTCTTCTTCATCGACGGCAGGCCCGAGTGGCAAAATTGCATGCTCGACTTCCGCAGCTCGAATCCAGTCTGAAACTGCTGTTAGTCATAGTCAGCGAAACCAATGTTTCTTCGGAGTCATAAGCATTTCCGTATTGTTTATTTAACATTGCAAATTTCTTTTCCTTCCTCATTGTACTTAGTATATAAGAAGAAGAAGAATAAATGTAACAAGTTGTTAGTTGTGCTTTGACAACCGAAAGTCTTGCGTCTCATATCTCTTTGTATCTTTGATCTTCGTTCGACCTCTCACAGAAACAAAAAACAGGAACGATTAAATAATTTCATACATAGGCATCCAAATTCAAAAAATTTCGTACGTACCTCGCATCGGAGCATGTCTTGGTCCGGGACGGTCGTGGCGTAAAAATCCAGCACCAAATTCTTCGGCAAAGGCAAGGGCGGAATCGATGTGAACTGGAGAGGGAAAGAAAAGAAATTAGTCATTTAATTTTTTTTGAGGGGAGAAAAACACATTAAAATTTTTTGCACTTACCTGCAAGACGACGGATCATATTTGCGAAGCCATTCGTAATCTAGTGAGTCCGGAACGCCATTACATCCACAAATCCACGCCGAGTCCAAGGTCGATGTCGTTGGCCCCACCCCAATTTGGTGCTGGGTCGTCCTA